CCAAAACTGCTAGAACTCATACAGGAATTCAGTAAAGTGGCAGGATATAAAATCAATGCATGGAAATCAGTTGCATTTATATACACCAACAACAAGACAGAAGAAAGAGAAATGAAGGAGTCAATCCCATTTACAATTGCACCCAAACCATAAGATACCTAGGAATAAATCTAACCAAAGAGGCAAAGAATCTGTACTCAGAAAATACTAATATTTTTAAAAAATTCAACTCCTGAAAAGTATTGCATGTCTTGGTATTCTAAACCAAATGCCTTAAACAAGACTAGGCATATTAGGAAAAGAAGGATGCTTTTGATGTCAAAACCCAGTGAAGTAGTGTGACTGTGCTTCTATTACATGCTTAGAAAGTTAAAGAAACATTAAGCTGGCAAGTAAAGTTGTTAGGGAACCCAATAATAAAACAGCTGTTTGTGGAAAACATTGGTGCTGATGTATCACAGAACAAAAATCAGAGTGTGTCAATTTAATGCCAAGAAAAGTTATCAGAGATGTTTTTTTGATCTTTGAAATTATTTATTTCACCATCCTCTTTACTGTCTTTGCCTTTTTATACTCAACTTTTTAGAAGATGGGGGATTTTTGTTTGAGTTTTTATTTTATGTTAATTAACTAATATCTCCAAAATAATTATTTAGGAGCTTTTCTGAACTTAGAATGCTAAGACTTCTTTTTTTTTAATTGCTGCTGATACTTGGAATAGAGTCTTCAAATGCTGAAATAGCGTTTCTCTTGAATATTTGTTTGTTTGTTCATATTTTATTGAATATAGTTGACAAAATATTATATTAGTTTCAGATGTACAACATAGTGATTCGACAACTCTATATGTTATGCTATGCTTATCACAAGTATAGCTACCATCTATCACCATACAATGCTATTACAAAACCATTGACTATATTCTTTATGCTGTACCTTTCATCCCTGTGACTTATTCCTTCCATAATTGGAAGCCTGTACCTCCCACTCCCTTTTACCCCTTTTTGCCCATCCCATACACCCCTTCCCTCTGGCAACCACCAGTGTGCTCTGTGTATTTATGGGTCTGTTTCTGCCTTTTCTGTTTGTTTTGTTTTCTAGGTTCCACATATAAGTGAAATAATTGAATATTTTGAGATCAGTTTTATGTAACTTTTTGCTTGTAAATTTTGTTTAAATAATTTCATGTCTTCTCTGGGAAAACTGTTTTCACATAAATTAAATACAGACTTTGAAAGTTTGAAATAGCCTATGACTTTTTCCTTTTGCTCTAAATTCTGTAGGACTTTTCCATTCATACAGTAATATGTTGTGATTTAAACATAGTATAAAGAGGAAACCATAAACAGAGACTCTGATGCTTGGGAAAAAAAGGGCATATCCATACCAAGGGTATGAACAGGCTTGGAAGAAGGCAAGAAGGTTTGGAAGTGGAAAATGCAGTGGAAGATCCTACAGGAGAAAGGGTGAATCACTATCATGTCAGGTAGAGGGGCAGCCAGAAGGCAGTATTGTATGGTAGTTAATAGCATGGGACTCTGGCATTAGACAAATCTGAATTTTAGTTCATAACCTATTAGTTACTAGCTGTGAGGTTTGGTATGTTACTTATCTGTTTTTCATTTTAATAGGTTAAGTGTAGTACCTACCTCATAATATTATGAGAACTATATTACATAATCCATGTAAAGTGCCTCATACTTAATAAGCTGTCAGAACATGTTAGAAATGAAAAAACAAACAAAAAGCCAGTCCTTTCAAGCTTGTCTTTTCAACAAATTATTTTGGAGCAACTGGATATCCAGGAGGAAACAAAATGACCCCTTCCTCACACCATTTACAAATATCAGTTTAAGATGAATTATAAATATAAATGTAAAAGCTAAAACAAAAAGAGCTAAATTGGACGATTCACACTCCCTCACTTCAAAACCCATCACAAAGCTACAGTAATCAAAAAAGTGTGGTCCTTGGGCACCTGGATGGCTTAGTCGGTTAAGCATATGACTCTTGATTTCGGCTCAGGTCATGATGATCTCAGGGTCATGGGATCATGTGGTCCTGGCTTAAGGATGAACATACAGACCAATCAGATGGAATTGAGAGTCCAGAAATAAACCCAAAAATCTGTTGCCAATTGATTTTTGACAAAGATGCCAAAACCAGTCAATTGGGAAAAGAATTGTCTTTCAACAAATGATGCTGGGACAATTTGACATCCAAATGCAAAAGAATGAAGTTGGACCCCTACTTCATCCCATATACAAAAATCAAATGTATCAATGAACTTTAAGATATAAAACTATAAAACTCTTTGAAGAAAACACTGGGTCAGATCTTTATGACTTTGGATTTGGCAATAGATTCTTAGATATGATACCAAGAGCATGAACAACAAAAGAAAAAATAGACAAATTCAACTTCATTAAAATGGGAAACTTTTATGCATCAAAATGATTATCAAAAGAGTGGAAAATACAACCTACAGAAAGAGAAAATATTTGTAAATTGTATTTTGATAAGGTTCTTGTTTCCAGAATATGTAAAGAATTCTTACAATTCAACAACAAAAAGACAACCCAATTTTTTTGAATAGATATTTCTCCAAAAAAGATATACAGATAGCCAACCAGTACATGAAAAGATGCTTAACATCACTAGTCATTAGAGAAAGACAAATCAAAACTGAAATGAAATATCACTTCACATCCACTAGGATGTCTATTATTAAAAAAACAAAAAACATTAAAAACAGAAGATATGTATTGGTGTGCATACTGGGTTGAATAGTGTTCCCTCCAAAATTCATGTCCACCCAGAATCTCAGAATGTGATTTTATTTGGAAATAGGGTCTTTATAGAAGTAGCTAGTTAAGTTCATGCCAGATTAGGGTTGACCCTAAATAGAATGAATGGTGTTCTTTTAAGAAAGCTATATGGAGGAAAAGCAGATACTGAGTTTTGTTACCAAAAGCCATGGACCTCCAGGAGCCAACTAGAAGCTGGAAGAGCCTTCCCTAGAGCCTTCAGAAGAATCATGGCCCTGCAGATACCTTGATTTCAGACTTCTGGACTTCAGAACCATGAGAGAATAAAAATGTATTGTTTTAAGCACCCAGTTTTTGGTAATTTGGTATAGCAGCCCTAGGAAATCAATACAACAAGGATGTAGAGAAATTGAAACCCTCATATATTGCCAGTGGGAAAGTAAAATGATTTAGCTCAATGGAAGACAGTTTGGCAGTTCCTCAGAAAGTTAAACATAAAATGACCATGTGACCACTCCTAGGTATATACCCAAAAGAATTGAAAACAGATACTCAGACACTTGTACACAAATGTTCATAGTAGCACAATTCACAATAGACAAAAGGTAGAAACAACTGAAGTGTCCATCAACGGATAAACAAGGTGATACATACATACAATGGAATAGTACTCAGCCATAAAAAGGAATGAAGTACTGATACCTAATACTGTGTGGATGAACCTCAAAAACATTATGCTAAGTGAAAGAAGCCAGACACAAAAGGTCACATATTGTGTGATTCTATTTATATGAAATATCCAGAATAGGTAGATCCATAGCCATGAAAGACTAAAACCATAACGTTTTTAGAAGAAGAATATCTTTTGTACTCAGGGGTAGGCAAAACTTTAAAAAATAGAACCCAAAAAGCAATAGCCTTTTATAAAAAGGAAAAAAAAAAAGATAAATGAACTAGGAAAGTAGGTTGCCAAACAACAATAAGGGCCACTTGAGGTTTGAAATGCTACCAGCATGGTTGTGTTTGTCTTTCTTTTTATTTTCAGCTGCAGCAAGGTAAGCATGGAGTAGAGAGTTGGATTTCATCAAGATTAGTGTCTTTGCAAGGTGAGTAGGATGAACCTGAAGAGGGATAAGGATTTTGAGGATATATGTGTAAGGGAGTGAATATAATAACTGACAGATAGGAATTTAAACTGGGTAAGTAGAGAATTGATAATATGGGGTGGGGGGTGAAGGACAGCGAAAACATGGTAGGATCAGATAATTGTAAGATATGATGGGTCTCAGGGTTAGAATATTGGAGTCCTAGAGTATATTTTAATGCAGTCTAGGGATATTCCTGGGTGTATCAAGAGTTTTATTTTTATTTTATAGAATTGAAATGTTCACAAAAGAGCATTTGAAACTGACTTCAAACAATTCATTATACCTTTTCCTAGGCTGTATTAGCTTTTCTACTTAGTCCTTGAAAACTTATAGGAAGCTACTCTTGAGGAATAGTTGTGTTATGGCTTTCTCCTGATCTTAAGTATCTCAGATAGTGGTGCTCCTCAGCTTCAAGGATGAATCCAGGTATTATAGAAACAAATTTATCAGATGAAAAGCAAAACTCTAAATTGCTTGCTTTTTGATATTTTGAATTTAAAAGATTGTGATAAAAAATATCATTCAAAGAATTATAAAGTCTTCGAGTTGGAAGAGAAGTTTATATTATCTACAATTTTAGTTCTAGTCCTTTGACTGAGAGCTCATACCTCACAAGGTAGGTCATTTTATTATAGACAGCTTTTCAGTTAAGGGGTACTTTGTTAAAAAGTTCTTTCTATTGGACTAAAGTTTTTCTCTTTAAGTCTTATTAGTTTAGATGTGGATTTCAAAATACTACGTGGAAAAAGCCCATTGCCCTTGAACTTCGCTTTAAATAATGCGTTTTTCCCCTTTACATTCTAATCAGTAACAAGCCCATCCTCTCAGCGGCATCCCTCTCCCACCTAGATAACTGTAGATGATTCTTAGCTGACTTCTCTGCCTCCAGTGAGGCACCCGCCCAGTTGGTTCTCGGTGCTATCACAGTGGTGATCTACCCAAAGCACGAGCCGCCCCAGTAGCACCAGCAGTACTCAGAAGGGATTATATGCCAGGCATTGTTCTAAGCACTGTACGCATTTACGCCTTATAATAATCCTATAAAGTAGGTTCTGTTATAGTCCTTATTTTTCAGATGTGGACAAAGTCGAGTAGTTAAATAACTTACATAGCTAGTAAGCATTAGAGCCAAGTTCAAATCCAGACTTCTAGATTCGGAGCACATGCTTTTGAACTCTACATCAAGCCATTTCTTAATCTTTCTTACTTAAAATACGTCTGTGGTTCCCATCATAGGATCAAGTTTGACATGGCACATAATGCCTTTCACGATCCAACCCTTTTTCTCTTCTAGAGCTTCATCTCCCATTTCCTACTACTTTCTTTTTATTTCTGTAAAACTAAACTACTTGTATTACCCTAATACACTGTGTTTTTTCACATATATGTGCATTTACTACCACCTCCTTCACCTTGCTGACTCTTTCAAATTATTCTTCAAGACTCATTTCAGGCATTGCCTTCTTCTGGAAACGCTACCAGAATCACTGCCTGAGTGATCCACTTCCCCTATTGGATGAAGTGTTCCTTCTCCACATGCCCATACCTTTATCGAAATATCATTGTAGTACTGTTATCATTGCACTGACCATATTTAGTGGAAACTATATATACCAGAAACTCCTCAAAGGCAGGGACTATATCTGATTTTTCTTTTATAAGCAATTATAACCATGAATTACACTGAATAAATTTCCACGTTTTTATTTTATTTGCAGATGATTCATGGTGATGGCTTGCAGGGTCATAAATAAAAGAAGGCACATGGGACTTCAGCAACTTTCATCATTTGCAGGAACAGGAAGAACTTTCCTAGGCCCATTAAAATCATCGAAATTTATTATAGATGCAGAGTGTCATGAAGGTGTGTTAATCAGTTCAACAGTAAGGCTTCTCGAAAGTTTGGATTTAACCAGCGCAGTGGGACAACTTCTCAATGAAGCAGTTCAAGCACAAAATAACACATATAAAACTGGAACTAGTACTCTTCTGTTCCTTGTTGGTGCATGGAGCAGTGCTGCTGAAGAATGTCTCCATTTAGGTGTCCCCATTTCATTAATAGTGTCTGCAATGTCAGAAGGCCTGAACTCTTGCATTGAAGAGGTAGTTTCCCTTCAAGTACCTATCCACAATGTATTTGACTATATAGACAGCACAAAGACATTTTCTGGACTTGAAACATTTAGTGGCAGTTTGTGCCCTTTTCTACAAATCCCTTCAGATACTGGTTTACAGAAAGAGCATGATCTCAAAGATGTTGCCTCTCCATCACTGACCATTTGCAATCTTTCTGGGATACCTGTTAAATCACCTAAACTCTTTAGACCTCAGGCTGAAGTTGAAGCAGATAAAAACACGTTACAAAATTCTCAAACTCTGAAAAACAGTCTGCTCACAGGCAACTATCATAGAAAGTCAATACTAATCCACAGTAGGCATTTTAATAGGACAGATAATAATCAGTGGATAAACAAACCAGATGGATTTCTAGAACAACATGGTGCAACTTCTCCCAGTACTTACAGATGTAATGATTTGGTAGAGTTGGAGATGGGTTTAAGTCACGGAGATCACAACAGCATGAAATTAGTAGATGAAGCAGTACGGCTGCAGTATCAGAATGCAAGTATGCAGCAAGGCAACTGTACGATGCCATTTAGGTTTGACATTTCAAGACTCTTCACTTGCTCTTTACCAGGTGTACCTGAAACTTTCTCTTGTGTCTGCCCAGGATTTATCACTGTAGTATCAATATCTAATTCTGCTCTGATTAAGGAATTACAGAATCAGCCTCTCCGGATTATTCTCATTGAGGGTGACCTCACAGAGAATTATCGCCACCTGGGATTTAACAAGGCTACGAATATTAACACAGTACTGGAAAGCATGAAGGTTCAACAAGACAGCTCAGAAGAACTGTGGACAAATTATGTATTACAGGTACTAATTAAGTTCAATGTGAACCTTGTCCTGGTACAAGGAAATGTGTCTGAACACTTAATTGAAAAGTGCTTACCCAATAAGCGGTTGGTACTTGGGCCAGTGAATAGCAGTGTGATGCAGGCTTTTGCAGAAGCTTCAGGAGCAGTACAGGTGACCTATATCACACAAGTGAATGAAAACTGTGTGGGCAGTGGGGTCTACGTGACCTTCTGGAGAAATATTCCTTCGGATGTCATGGATAGAATCAATATAATCACAGTCGTGATAAAAATCGAAGGAATTAATTTGGTTACAGTAGTGCTCACTAGCCCAGTCACTGCACAGATGCAATCCAAAGAAGACAGGTTCTGGGCTTGTGCCTATCGTCTGTATTATGCTCTAAAAGAGCAAAAGGTCTTCCTTGGAGGTGGGGCAGTTGAATTTTTGTGTCTTAGCCATCTTCAAATTCTTGCAGAGCAATCACTGAGTAAACGAAACCACGTCTGTTCAGGATGGCTTCATAATACTTCCTCTTGGCTGGCCTCATCTCTGGCACTGTACAGATCAACTGTGCTTAAATGCCTGGCAAACGGATGGCACAAATACCTTTCAACTCTCGTATATAACATGGCCAATTGCTCATCAGAATTTGAAGCCAGCACATTCATTCAGCAGCATCTACAAAATGCCACAGACTCTGGCTCTCCTTCATCTTACATCTTGAATGAATATAGTAAGCTTAATAGTGGAATTTTTAATTCGGGCATTTCAAATAAACTGGAACAGATTCCAAGCGTTTATGACGTTGTTATACCAAAGATTGAGGCATGGCGCCGAGCTTTGGATTTAGTACTCTTAGTACTTCAGACAGACAGTGAAATTATTACTGGACTTGGACACACACGGTTAAATTCACAGGAAACAGAGGGTTTTTTATTTTTGTAGTGTTATTGGCTAAGTCTTTGGAAAATAATATTTTGTTATATATCATGCTAATGATAAATTTCCTAGTAGCTAAGTCATAGTGCCTAAAATGCCAGCCATTACCAAGAAGAAAATTATTGATGTCTGTCAGTAATTGCAGGGTCTGAGATTTCACCCGACTTACAAGCTAACAGGTTAGCCTGTTACTATTTCATGGTATGCTACAGGATACATGAGACGCTTGGACAGAGACAAAGCACTTTTATTATTCACAACAAAAGTGGTAGCCAGAGCTTCCTGTTGGTTTGTATCAGTTCCCATTTCTCTGAGCCCCATAAGAGCAACATAAAAGGCCAGTGATGGAAGCCTGCACATGCAGTGGGTTGTGTTACAGAAAAGGAACACTGAGCTTGGGACATTGACTGCTTTTATAGTGACCAGAAACAATCCTGTTTTTTGTCCAAGGGGTAGTTGCTACCTCATGCCTCAAGGTTGCTTAGTGTAAACACAAGCCTAAGACATGGACTGGGTAAAGATAGGTCAGGTCCTTGCATTCAAGGCACACCCAGAAAGTATGCAGTGTCATTCAGAGCCCATAATGGATAGCCTCTTCCATTTACTCACTTCTTAACCTGACATGTTCTTGGCCAAACTTGAATTTTCATGGAAGAATGCCACTCTGTTTACTAGTCTGATTAATCTGATAAACAGGTTGTTTCGTCAATACCAGATCTATTCAGTTGGTTTCATATAGCAGTTAATTAAGGCTACTATCAACAGACTCTGAGCAGCAGGATGAAACCAGTCTGCAGTATTGACCTCAGTCATGTCCCGTAGTGTCTTGAATTTAGTCAATTTTAAATTCCAACGGGGGTCTTTTTATTAGCCTGAATGTATTGTAAGACCAATGTATCATATATTATGACCCTCACAAGGGAGCTTTGACTGAGTTGCTGATCTTTGATGTCAATGACAAAATGACAGGGGCAATAGATGGCCAAAAACAAATCCCCCCTCCCTAATGGAGAGACCTACTATGGCCCATTTTTCCCAAATATAAGCACATAACCCCAACAGGGCACGGTCTCTCTACTTCAGGATTTGTTGTGAAACCTGATTTGAATCACCATTGTATAGATTTAATTAAGTCACATAGGTCGTGCCACCCAGTAGTTGCAGCCTCAGTTGCCATAATGGCAAAATCCAAGGCTACTCAAATGTTGCTCTTCCCACCCTGTTGAGTAACTTGTACTCAACAAACTTGCAATTTTTATTTCCTCCTTGCTGGTGGCATTTGTTTTAGCTTTGAGGACCCCTTGACTTAGAAGCAATAGCCTACTCAAGCATAAGATCAGTCAGATTGAAACAAGGTTGTCCTGGTTTCTGTGTTTGTACATTTTCGCAGCTGCCATCGATGGCATTATGAACTGCTTCCAATACTGAATAAGTCTTAATAAGGAGGAAACATTTGTTTGTTTGACTCCTGGGCGGATTGAGCGCTATGACTCTGTCTAAACAATGCTGAGAAACGGCTTGGCAAACAGAGTTCTGAATTTTGTTTGGGTTTAGCAGCCACTTCTACTGGTGGAGGTTGATAATGGCCACAGTCAAAACCATTGAGATGAGCTTCTAACTTGACCACCAGAACATCATCTATATAGTGAACATTTGGGATATCAGAGCATAGAGGCGCTCACACTAAATCCCAACCCGCCAATAGGTTAGGATGGGTTAGGGCATGGTAGTAGATGGCAGGAAGTTTGTCTCATTTCTCTATATAGAGCAGCAATACCTTGAATGGGAGGATCTCCTCTGGCACTTTATGAGCATTTACAAAATAAGCATATAACACCTCAATACCAGTTACGTATTTTCATAACAATTCATTCTAATCCTATCAGTTGACTTTAGTCACTTTATCCCCCGTATGGGAATATGGCAAGTTTAACGTTGGCACATTAGGAGCTTTAACTGTGGTGAAGAGATTATGTTAGCTCCCTGGTTGGGAGCTCCAGAAGGAGCAAGGGGTAAAGGCTGCATCCAAGGAGCCTCTTTTTTTCTTTTTTTTGGCCCCTTGCTTCAGTGTTGGTACCAGCTTCTTTCCTGTGCACTTCCCAGTATGTAGGGAGCCCCCACACTCTGGGGATCTTTCTTTTTGCCCTCCATATAACTAACCCTGCACCTCCTCAGTGTCCTGCAGCCTTTGGTACCTTTGACCACCCTGTGCCCGATACCAACTTCCCCTATGGGACTGGGTAGAATGGTGACGAGCACCTGTATCTAACAGCTGTAAAAGTTTGAGTCACTTTCTTCCCCCATGTATTCCCATCATACTTGGCTTTCTCCTTAAAGCAGCTGAGGTCAGGGTAGAGGGTGAAGGAGTTACCAAGAAGTGTAGAGGGAGAGAATGGCTCCAGTATTGCATTTACTTTTGTTTTTGATCAGCTGCCCAACTTGTACTCAACAAACTTGCAATTTTTATTTCCTCCTTGCTGGTGGCATTTGTTTTAGCTTTGAGGACCCCTTGACTTAGCAATAGCCACACTTCTTGGCTAGAGCCCTGGGACGTGCTGCCTTGTTATCATATTAATATCATTGCTCTTCCCACCCTGAGGTGAGTGAGCAACAACCAACACACCATTTGGGTGGCTTGTTTTAATCCTACTTCTCACTGCTTAGCCTCCAAACATAAATTAACAGGCAGGACAGTGGGAGACTCCTCCCCACCTCCCTTTCCCACTACTTAACATTTACTGTTGGATCCCAGGGAGTCTTATATCTCTTAACCCAGAGCAGTGGGGCCCTCATCCTTTTCAGAAACCATGGCTCTCTCAGCCAAAGCAGTAAAGAACTGTGTAGGGTCTGAGATTTTGCCCCGTTTATAAGCTATCAGTTAAAATGTAATGGGATACAGCCAGAAAACAATCCTGGATCAGAAACAAATGACTTTACAATAGCCAGAGCTTTGTGTTGGTTTATTTTGGTCCTCTGTCCTTGCAAGTCCCACAGAGGTGACATAAAGGGCCATGATGAATACATGCACAAGAGATTGTGTTACAGGAGAGGAGTGCATAACTTGGGCAAATCACAACTTTTACAGTAAGCAGAAGTAAGCCTTTTCTTGGTCTGGAGTGAGATGTTACATCATCATTCAGGGTTACTCGCTAGAAACACATCCCTGAGAAATGGCCTGGAAAAAGAGTACTCCAACCCAGCAAGAACATGCTGAGAGTCAATAGCATTCTGTGTATCCCAACAAAGTCTTGCTCTTTTGCCACTTAGCCATTAAATGAACATCTTAAGAATGGAATTATGTGTGGAGTTGAATATTAGAAAAGCTCTGGGGAAATAACAGTAGTAATTAAGTTATTGATTACCTACCATGTCCCAGGCACTATTCTAAATTCTTCACATATTGTATTAATGCTTTAGGGTTGCCATAACAAAATACCACGTATTAGGGGGCTTAAACAACAGAAATTTATTTTCTCACAATTCTGGGGGCTAGAATCTGAGATCAAGGTGTTGGCAGAGTCGGTTTCTTCTGAGGCCTCTTTCCTTCACTTGTAGATGGATATCTTCTCCCTTTGTTTCACAATGTCTTCCCTCTGTATCTGTCTGTGTCCTAATTTCCTCTTCTTGTAAGGACACTAAGTCATAATGGATGAGGGCCTTCCCTAATGACCTTATTTTAACTTGATTACCTCTTTAAAGAGCCTGTCTCCAGTGAAGTCACGTTCTGAGGTATGGGGGATTAGGACTTCAACATATGAATGGGGGGGGCACACAATTCAGCCTATAAGACATATATTATCTCAATCTTTGAAACATTTATTTTCTCCATTGTATGATGAGGAAATTAGTTTAGGAAGGTTAAGAAACTTGCCCAAAGTCTTAAAGCTAGTAGGTAGAAGAGCTGGAGTTTACACTAAGATTTTATCTGGCTCCAAAGTATATTTCTAAGTATTAACTGTGAAAGGAAGCTTTTTCTGGAAAGTAACAACAACAAAAGAATGTCTAGTTTATTTATAGGGATAATTTAAATGTACTAGAAAATATGACTTGGTTATCTTCTACTCAAGTAAAAGAATATTAACTTTTGGTTTAGTGGTTGTCTTAAATGTGGTTACCTGAAAACCTTGCACAGATCATCATTCCAGTTATATACACCATCTTTGTTCAAAGTTAGAATAACAACAACATTAAATGTTGAACTGTTTTTTAAAATAAAGTGTATTTTACTTGTTTAGGAATTGATACTTTTACTCTCCTGTGTACTATTAACACTTAATTTTTGTTAAAATATTACGAAGATTATCAGCACCACTAATATTAATGTAGATGCTTATTTATATAATAGATTTTTTGTGAAATTGGTATTTGCATATATTGGTACTATTAAATATTTAGTAAAATCCTGTTATAAATACTTTCCTTTGACACTAGAAGTCTCATTTTAATACAGATTGTATAAGTCCATTTTGTTTTCAGATTGTAAAAAACTTTGTACTGTTATGTGGTTTATCAGCTGTTTTTCTAATTCTTACCAGGGATACCTTTAAGTTTTAATTACTCAAGGAACTGTTCTGTCCTTGCAGAGGCAGTCCCTCACATAAATTTGATTCATTTAAGTAAGTGGGTTTTCCAAGAAACCCTGTGCATAAGCAGGTAGACACTTCTCAAAAGACCAAAGAAGTGTTGACATCTTTGAGACCAATCTGCTGCTTTAATATTATAAACTACAAAGAGGTTTGCAGTTATTCTACATCCCATCCACATTATAGCCAGCCTTCCCAAAGATAAATAACCCTTCCTGAACCAGGAGTTAACTGGCTCTTCAAAAAATAATCTTTAAGAAATTCCAGCAATGGAATCCCTGCATATTCAGAATATGGGCAGGTGTACCTGCCTACCCAGACACTGGACAGATGCAGGAGCAAAAAGGAAGTGGGAAGCAGCAAGAGTGAAGGGGTTACTGACAGGTCATTGTGAGCTATAGTCCCCAAAATTGTTGAAAGGACTCTACCTGAATGGAAATACGGTAAAACAAATTTGAGAAGTAGCTCATAGGCATCACATTCTGGGTAAGTGCAAAGCAACAACAAAAAGCAAAAACAACCCCACTTCTATGTGTATATGTAGATGGAAGAGAATTGACTAGTGCTGTAGTGATCTAAGCTCTGAAGAATATCAAAAATATCCAGCACATGCTTCCTTCCAGGATGACTGAGCCACACTCTGAGGAAAAAATGTTGAAAAGAAATAAAATAGAGCAGGACAGGAACATTTGGAATAAAGGAGAGGGAAAATTCACATTGGGAATGGTAAAACAATGTCATTTTCTATTAGGCTGGGTGGCCAGCAGACTCCAGATGAAAAGACCTCCGAAAATAAATGTAACCTTGAAGGCAAGGTCTGTAGACTTCTAGGAAACACAGAGCCAAAGGCAGAAAATTTTTCCAACCAGTCTTAGCTTTGACAAATAGAGAAGGGTTACACAAAAAGGCTCTATTTCTGGTTCTTCATTTATAACATAACAGAGACCATGAGCCATGAAGCTGAGAAATTGACCCTGGCCCATCCACATCTCCATAGGAGACGTGGGATATGTCTATGTATGGGATACACAAAAAATCCATGTAATTTGGACATGAGGGAAAAAAGAAATGCTATTTAACCTCAAATGACCTGAGTACAAGAGAAGAGATTAAAATGGATGAAAGAATTTTTAACAGAACATAAGAACTCACAATATAAAAACTCTAGCTATAACGCAGATCAGAATATTTTTAAATGAGTTAAATCACTTAGAAGTTTTTGAAAAAACAGCATGCATTAGGAATGAAGTTCTCGGAAATTAGATGGCAAACAACAGGTTATGGAATGACGGCACAACTCAGAAAAAAAACTGGATGAAATCACAGGTAACACAAGAGCACATGGAGTCCACTGAAAGCATGGTAAAGGAAGTAAATTTCTTTCCCAGGAACTCAGGAGAGGAATCTCTTTCACAAACCCTTCTAAATTTCCATAACAGAGATCTGCACTGTATCAATTTTTTTTTTTTTTAAAGATTTTATTTATTTGGGCGCCTGGGTGGCTCAGTTGGTTAAGCGACTGCCTTCGGCTCAGGTCATGATCCTGGAGTCCCGGGATCGAGTCCCGCATCGGGCTCCCTGCTCGGCAGGGAGTCTGCTTCTCCCTCTGACCCTCACCCTTCTCCTTCTCTCTCTCTCTGTCATTCTCTCTCTCTCAAAAAAAAAAAAAAAAAAAGAAAGAAATTAAAGATTTTATTTATTTATTTGACAGAGGGAGAGAGAGCGAGAGCAGGAACACAAGCAGGGGGAGCGAGAGAGGGTGAAGCAGGCTTCCCACTGAGCAGGGAGCCCGATGCGGGGCTCGATCCCAGGACCCTGGGATCATGACCTGAGCCAAAGGCAGATGCTTAACGACTGAGCCACCCAGGCGCCCCTGTATCAATTTTTTTTAAGATACTGACTTAAATGACCAAACTTTACAAAGGATGACTTTCCTGTGTAACACACAGACCAGTATAACATTAGGGTCCCCCTCTGGAACTTTACAAAGCCATTAATGACTCATTTAAGTTCAGGAGCAGTCCTTGGCTGGCTAGTTCATGCCATTGTTCGACTCTACAAGGCTTTGTTTCATGAGGGGAAAGCGATGGTGGGTCAGAGGAGTCCAGGGCCTCTCAGGGTGCCAGAGCCTTGCAGTCACCAAAAGTCAGGGTTTCCAGGAGCATAGCTTTCCAGGCCCACAGACTTTTGTCAAGTTAACGGGAAGTAATCATCATCAGAGGGATTAACTCATAACTTGTACTAACCAAATTCACAGAGAATTGTGTAAACCAAGACGCTAACTTCATATTGGTATTTATAACTCCTAGAAAAAGCAGAATACTCATATGAACTGAACCAAGAATTTTTTTCTCCTGTTTCTGAAAGTCTCTGGGGAGCTAGGAACATTGCTTGTTGAGGCTGGAATTGAAGCCAAGGGACCCCTCTGATGCAGCACTAGCCAGACACCTCTCTTCAGGACAATGCTGAACACCCACCACTAACCAGGAAGGTCAGCCTTTTGCTCACTTCTGTTGCCATACTCTTTATTCAGGTATTAAGTTAATGAGACACTGCTTTCTTTTTACTCAGTTATATTTCAGACTTGCTCTCTGGGGGCAGCATCCTGTGGCCCCTCTGAATGTTAACTTACTGATTTGGGAGACATCTCCTCTGTAGTGATATCTAATAACCACAATCACCCACTTCGTGATATTTGTTAAACCCAGCAGAACTTAACCTTATCTCCAGTTTCTGGAAGCAACAGATCAGTCTCCTTTGGACCAGCTAAAGGTTCTCCCTTCCATGATAAAAGAATGATAAAAAAGGAGGTATCTGTCAGCTTCCAGGATGTACTTACAGTGTAGTCAGATAAGCATTAGACTTTAAACTAGAAGAAATTTTTCATAATCTGACTTTGCCCCCTGTGTGACCTCGGGCAAGTCACTTAACCTCTCTGAAATCTGTAAAATATATTCTTAAAGCAACTTCGAGGTTTAAATTAAATATACATTATGATAACTCAATATAAACTGTGTGCAAATATCCAGGGAAATAAGTCAAGCAATTGAAACTTTGTTATAAAAGAGTTTCGTGAGATTTCTGTTCCTTTCCTAGCTTTACAATTTTAATGGTTCTTTGTGCCCCTTCCTCCTTTGCCCTCCTTATTAGTGATTAGAAATAATGCCCATGAACAAAAAAGGTCAGTGTGCCTACTTTGGAGATAAGAGCAATAGGAGAGGAGAGTACTAGGCAAGATGTATTTCACTTCTCAAGATGGCTGGAGGAGAGAACCCAGGCAGTTGAAGATAATAATGACAAAAATTAATAATAGTAGATTTGGTGTAGTACTTTACCCTTTTAAATAGTTACTGACCCTAGCCACTTCTAAGAGTAGCAGGACTACTGTCTACCACATGGATTTGCCGGCCTAAGGGAGCAAAGCCAAGCCCCAGCTAGGGAGACTCCAGAGTAAGCCAACAGATAATTGTAGACCACAACACCCTTCAATCAGCCTCCCTTGACGTGTACATGTGTCATCTTTTCCGAATCATGTTGTCAAGTTCTTATGATTGCCAACTACTTTACTTTAGTATTTTGTTTATATAGAGTAACAGTTCTCAACCTTGGCTTCAAATAAGAATCAACTGGGGAGCTTTTATGACTGCTAATGTCCTAACTACATCTACAGATATTTAATTAGACTGAAATCAGAGCGCCAGGCATTGGTATTTTTAAGATCTCCCAGGTGATTGGAATATGTAGCCAAGACTGAGAATCGCTGACATGAAGTGATCATTTTTCCCTTGCTCAATGGTCCTCAATCCCTAGCTGCACTTTAGTATCACTTGGGAGCCTTTAGACAAATTAAATCAGAAGCTCTGGAATTGGGGCCTGGGTATATCAGTTTTTAAAGCTTCCTGTATGATTATAATGTGTAGCCAGAATTGATGATCACTGCTATAATTTAAACAGAATATGAAGAGATGGTCTTTTTAATATAAAGTAATTGCTATCCTTCCTTGGGGAAACTGAATCCACATGTTCAGGGGAAATACACAGTTGCAACTTGGCAAAAATATGAAAAACCATGCACTTAGCTCCAGGCTAAGGAGATAATGTAGGAAAAGAGCACAGAGATAAGGAAGAATAAGGAAAGATAAGGTAACAAATCTCCATGAATTATAGGAAACAACTTGAATTCCAGAAGTACCAGATATAGTCAACTTTAATTCAGCAATCATCTAAAGAAGGATCATTCCTTGCAAATTGTCAATCACAGATCATATCTACCATTAGAGACCACTTCTTCATGATGGGGAGCACTTTCCAGGCACTGGCTCACGTAATCTTCACAACAGTTCTGTGAGGCAGGCTGTTACTATCTTCATTTTACAAATAAACCGAGACACAGAGGCTAAGTGTCTTGCCCAAGATACACAGCTGTTTAGAGGTAGAGTTTGGCAGTGGGTCTTGAGAGACCCTAATGGCAGCCAGTGGTCTCTGAAGAAGGGCGGATGCACAGACAGGAAGGTACAATGTTGTGCAAGAGGAATATATTAGAATTTCTACTATTTTTTTTTTTTTGTAATTTTAACTTTTTTATTTAGGTTATATAATTTACATATATTAGTTTGGTAGGACATATATATATAGATATAAATATGCATGTATTGGGTCATATGATAAAAAACGGTTGAATATCACTTCTCTAGAAGCTAATGGGTACACTAATAACAAACACAAATATACAAATTCTGCATAAGGCATAATATCAATCTATGTTGATAGAGTAGAAAGGAATCTAGGAGCAAATTATTCATTAAAGGGTGAAAATC